CTCAAGTAATTGATAAATAGGTAAGTCATTTATAAATTAAATTGCCGCGTGAGAGCATTTCAGAAAAAAGAATATTATAAAAATACTATACGGCTTTTGAACACCTTTGTCTATACGGCTCAAATGATTTACCGAATCAAAAATCGATCATAAGGAAGTGCTATCAATAATTACATAATGTTTGACCATCGTCCCTTTACTTGATAATAAAATGTATAAGTTTACCTAAAAGTATTCTTTTTTGATTAGTAAGTTCTAAAAGCATTTCTTTTACTTGATATACATGTACATTAAAGTAGACCTAATTTTTAGGTCTACTTTCTAATAAAGTAACCTCATTTTTGACTTTTGAATTTTTTTCACGACGCCCCCTAAAGTTGTTCCATTTGGTGAAAAAAAAATTGTGTAAAAGTTGAGCTCGATTGGACAACGGGAAGACGTGGCACATCTAACTTGAAGTTTTTAAATTAATTCCCGGAACACTTTGTAAATATCAAGTTTGTTTTTTGCAAATATTAAATAGCAATATTTCCGTAATATGCTTCAGAGAAAGAGAGAAAAAGAGAAAAACACCTGAGTGAATTATGCAATTAACTCTCAATTTAAAATTATATTAAATTTTATTTTAGTATAGATTTATGATTTATATTTTTGAAATTTAGTGCATGAAAACTTTATAATTCAAAACTATCGACGAATAAACATGTTTCTTCTAAACTTTTTAAAAAAAGTAAATGCAGCTTGTTTAATGAAATTGATATGAAATTGATATGAAAATTACGAAAACGTTTAAAGTCGTAAATGAGAGTAGAACGAGGAATTAAACTCATACAGGATTTTAATCAAATTTTGTCGAGAAATGAGGAGAAAAAATAATTCATTTTTCATATTGTGTCACATTAAAGAACTCAGCATCTAAATGTCCATAAATCTATTCTTATTAATTTTTGTAAAATTACAATAAATTTAAATATTATTATACAATAGATTGTAAAATATATGGATGCAAACAATGTATTGATATCTTTATTTTCCTTCTTGCTTATAACTATAAAAATACGATATATTTCGTATACACATATATATAAAATACGATTTAAATATACTATATTTATTAAAAAACATACTATCATAGTCAACATTTACTAAGAAAATCATTTAATCTTTATTCAGAATTCTTTTCATCGGATTTCCTCGTTTTTTGTGAAAAAAATATTTGTTTCAACTTTAACAGGATTGTGCCACGTCTTTCCGTTATCCGATCGAGCTCAACTTTTACACAATGTTTTTTTCACCAACCGGAACAACTTTAGGAGGCGTCGTGAAAAAAATTCGCAAAAACATTTTTCACCAAGTATAAATATAAGGTCCACCCTAATGTACATCTTAGGATATTGCAAGATAACGATGAATCATGCGTTTTTCTAACAATATAAGATTAAGAATACTGTGTACTTTTCGATGACTCGCTAACTCTAGAATTTTCCATATCTCCAATTTTTGATATAAATAAAAGATCCTCTGCAGCGGCAGTTCGTCGAGTCGATTCGAATAATTCGAGTCCAACAGAAGAATACATATCTTGTAACACGCGAGTAATAAAGATACTATAAGAAATTATTATAAAATTTATCGAATAAAGTTATTTTTGTATAAAATAATAATTCTCGCGAATCTTACAGTAACGAACTTTGTTGAATAATTTTCGTTTATTCGCGTTTGCTCGCGCTTGTTTGTTTGATCTAAATCCAGCTTAACGTGTCGCTTGTGGAATTAATTGTTAATTCCCGTTTATACATGCATCGGCACGTAGCCGTGAGACGAGCGTGTTAGGATATCCTTTGTCTTTTAAAGCCAAAAATTAAGATCAAATTGTTTGTAAGAAATTAATTTTGTTAACATGCAAACTGTTGAAATATTTAATCTTCGTGAAAATGATGTAAAATAAGCACGGCGAAAGCATCATTTATGTAACATCACGGAGAAGGAACAACGATAAAATTAATATTTCTTTCTGAAACAATAAAAAAGAAGCTCTTCTAATAATATTTGATAAAATATTGCTATATTGCGCAAAGATTCTTTTGCGCCAATCAATAAGGATATACTGCAAAATAGATTTGCAATTAGAACAGGCTTTATACTGGACGGGAGGCAGACGGACGGGTAAAGAAATTACACACAGGCACGAGCACGTTTCCAATATGGAATTAGTGTTGTATATTTTACAAAGTAAATAGAATATAAACAATCTAAAGTCGTCTAAAACACAATAGTACGAATTTCGTGGTAAATCATTTCGTGTGTCGTAAAGATAGACGATATATCATCAACAGGGCGACTCCTTTCGCTTTCCTCCACCTCGCGCGAATGATTCGTGGACCGAAATAACGGGGAGAGGAGGACAGGGCATAGGGGCATGGCGGCACGGGAGGGGGAAGGGGGGACTTAAACCGACTGGTCGAAAAATTCATCGTCACCCGACCGAGTGTGAACAATAATCCAATGGGTGACTTATCGGCGAAACTGATTCGATGGCAATCACGTGGTATCGCGGAGGCTGCGATGACACTCGCAAAACAGCACTTTTCTCTATATTTCAATAATTTCAATAATTTCTCAGATTATCATCATCATTATCTTCATCATCAACATCATCATCTTCATCATCATCATCATCATTATCATCATCATCATTATCATTATTATCATCATATAATAAGAGGTCCGTCGATCGTTAATCGACGCAGACTGGCATCGCGTTTTCTTCGATCTCCTACACTTCATCACTACTTTCATCTGTCGGGAGGAGGAGGAGGGGGAGGGGAAAGAGGAGGCTGGATCTCTCGGATGGCGTGTGATGCACGCGCGGCAGTTTGTGATGAGCGAGGTGTACAACGGGTACAGCAGTAATAGACAGCTTTATACAGACATTACGTTTCGGCCGTTATGTTTACGCTACGTGGTAACTCGTCTACTAAGACCAGGTTTACGCTCGACGTCGCGTCGCATATTCGATTCCTCTCGCGACACTCGCGTCTGTGACAGAGGCTTTTCCGTTATCAACGTAAACACTTTATCCTTTATCAACTCTTAAGGTGCAAATTCATGAGACGCTTGTTTTAGCGTTAAAGCCACGGCACACAGAAAAGCTTAATCAAAACTCAGTAAGACATAAAGAAATCAACATGTTGAATTTTTGGTAATCACGTGTGACTTCGACTTTGACGCTAGCGTCAAAAAAAGAAGCTGGATTTTCTCAGCTTTAGCGTCAAAGGCTGTTGTTATTTTGTTCGGAACATTTTAGATATACGAATTATACGATTGACATTATACTTGATATTGCCGCTTTTCGTGCAAGCCAACTATGATCACGTAATTTTGACGCCAAAAATGAGCGTCGAGCGTCAGCATGAAAAGGCACCTTTACGCTACGATTTCGCTGCAGAGACCCGCGCAAGAGCGCCGCTTGCGACGGACGTCGAGCGCTAAACCTAAACCTATATATACGATTCTCTCAGTCTCTCGCGGATAAGGTTAAAACGACACTGACGACAACGACGAATTGATCCGGCGCGTTACTTTCTTTCTTTTTTTTTTTTTTACTTATCATTAGATACACGTGTACGGTAAACACTCTTCGCGGAGAAGCGGAAGATGGTGTGAGTTTCGAATTAGCGCGATGAATGCAGGATGGATGCTCGATGTATATCGAATCGACTGGAAGACAAGGGGGAAAATGTTCGGAGAGATCGCGTATTGCTCGCTTCGATATGCATGCACACAAGTGTCCCGCGCCCAGGACGCATTGTCGTGAGAGACACAATTGCGGAGAACGATTCGCGGGGGAGGAGGGGGCGGGAAGGGTGGTGTCTCGGTCGATCGTAGATCTCTTCGCTGGTCGTTGCGGTCGCTTCGCAATAGAGCAAGATGGCAGTTAGAGCGAGATTACCGTTTAGAATTTTACAGCTTAATTACAGTCGTCGCGCGCGTTCGCGTCGTAACTTTTTCGCTATTGTAATAATAATTAAGAAGACTGTACGGCGGGGGGGGGAGGGAAGGAGACGTGGTGTACGTATTCGCGCGTGCTTCGGAAGCAGCACTCGCGCGCGCGCGCGCGCGCGTATACAGAGATCGCGTCGCGTGTGGAGGGAAGAAATCCGAGGTGGATGCGCGGAGGTCGCGCGTAATAGCGCCGCCATTTTAACTAACTATATAGGATTATTACACGTGGAGCGTGGAATAAAACGTGGCAGTTCAGTAAAACGGATTTCGGTCGTCGTCGAAACGCCCTCGCGGATTTCGCGTCCGCTTCTTCTTCTTGTTCTTTTTCCGCCACGGATATAGAGAACAGACAACAACGTATAGAGCTTGACTCCGCTCCGCTCGAGTACACTCTCGCTCCCGAGCACCCGAGCGACGACGGGGCGACGCAGGTAAAACTTGGGTAAAACGTGCGGTTCCACCAAAAGCGGAACGGCAATAAACGGCAGCTTTATAGACTCTCTGGCTCTCTCTCTCTCTGTTAAACTTAACTTTTGTTTATATACGATCAGTCGCAGCGCGCGTTCGCGATCGTTCGCCCTAATCGTTAGCCCTATATAAAGTACATATACTTAAGCCGAGAAATAATTCTTGACGTCGGATATCGATCTCGCCGATCGGAAACGCCGGTGGCAGTTTTACGGAGCACGTGATGTCGTCGAGCTGACGGGCTCGCGTTCTCGTCGACGTAGGCCGGGAGCAGGACGAAGGAGCACACGTGGAATTATCACTTGAATGGCTGACTGGCGATCGGACGCGAGGCGCCAATTCGCATTAACGAAGACGACGGACCGCGGCTTACATAAATTCTCGCTCGATTTTTCTTTACTTTATACTCTTCTTCTTCTTCTTCTTCTTCTTTCTCGCCGTTTACTTTTAATCTCACCTCTTCTCTTTTACCTTACGACGTGCAGAGTTTTCGCGTACGCGTACGCGCGGAGGCTTTTACACCGTATTTACACCGCGATTACGAAGTCACGGACGTTTCGTTGGCTGTTGTGACCGCGATCGAAGTCGCACTCGGCCTCGCTTAGCTCAAACGCGTCGGAGAACCCCGAGGGTGGGTCCAGCTTGGGGACGAACAGGTTTCCTGATCCGTCACGCTCCTGGTCCCGATTGGCACAGGGATTGCCCGACTGGTGCTTGGGATGGCCAAGCCCGGGGATTGGCCCGAAGTTGGCACGGGCCTCCTCGCTGGTATAACGCGCCAGCTGTAACATCCTGAATGCAAACGGGACTTTCTTTTACACTGCAAATTGTGGAACATGTCGAGAAAATGCGCTCAAGCGATGTAAGAGGGGTGATAAAAAGATACGGTAAACGTTGAAATAAAAAGAAACTTATTATATTAAAAGACAAATGACAATTAGTCCTCTTCAAAATACTTCCCCTGGCCTCGCTTCTAATACACTTATCCCATCATTCTTACTAAAGCAGTACTGGAAGTCCTTTTTCATAAGTATACCTTTAATTGCGCTGCCTTGGTGTCTTGAATTCATTCAAAACGTTTACCTTTGATGGTCATTTTGATTTTGAAGAAAAGTCAGAAGTCGTACAATATGCCAAATTCGGTGAATACGATGGATGAGGACACATCGTAATGTTTTTATTTAACAACAGAAATTGCCGTATCAAAAGCGATGTGTGCAGACACGGAGCGTTGTCATGATGAAGGATGAAACAGTTTGCTCATTTCTCACGTTTTTTTCTATGCACATTCTTCGTTTCTTAAACGCTCTAATCAGCATTTAAAGTTCACTATTATTCAAAGTTCACTGTAAACGTTTTGAATCAATTCAAAACATCGAGGCAGCCACGACAGCGCAATTAAAAGCACTTATGAGAGAGGACTTCCAGTACTGTTTCAGCAAATGACAAAAACGATGGGATAAGTGTATTAAAAGCGAGGAGAAGTATTTTGAAGGGACTAATTGTAATCTTTTAATATAATAGCTTTTTTCTTCTTATTTCAATATCAGGGTGGGTACTCAAATTTTGAAAAAGAATTCCCTGAAAATTCCTGGATTTTTCAGGAATTTTATTCAAAATTTCAGGTAAGATTAGAGAATTTCTCAATACAGCTTTAAAATAAATTAGGCACTAAGAGTTCTAATAACGTATAAAACTTGCGTGAAACAATTTAATTAATCTTCTCATATGTACAATAGTTCTTCATACAAAATTTTTTGAACGTGATCAAAGATTTGTATAAAGATGTAACTATATATGTGAAAATTAAATTGTTTCACGCACTAAGTTATGCGTTATTAGACTCTTAATGCTTGATTCATTATTTCCGAATTATCGTTTTTTAGATTGAAGAATCTTTATATAGTATATGTCAATTTTAAAATAAATTAATTTTCAATATCAGGGGCCCTCGATATGCGGCCACGTTTACTTCCTAAAGGGATAAAATTAAAAATAATAAAACCTAAAGCCTTACCTATACCTACTTAGGATAAAATTAAATTTAAAAAATTCAAAAAATTTCCCTGAGTATACTAAAATTCCATGAGAATCCATGATTTTCAAGGATAAAAATGAAATTCCCTGAGAATTCCAGGTTTTCCCGGTTTTTCCCGGTAGTATCCACCCTGAATATTCATCGTATTTTTTGACCATACATCGTATATTTAACTGTCAGTTTGCAAATAATTTGGTTGAATGCACTAGCTTAAATATAGAGTGCATTTTGTATTTCAAGTATGATGCGCATGATATGTCTTTATTCTTGTTGTTTATTGAATGCTAAACAAGAATAAATTGACGTGCATTCGCACTTATATACTGTCGAATTGGCGACATATAAATATAAATTCGTCGTTATTTAGTTGCAGATTTTAATATCTAAACAGACGATTAATTTAGAATTCTAGGAGTATCGTGGGAGAGATTTAAAAGAATTAATAATAGATCAGCGATAGGGCTTACTTGGGTCTTCCCCTTCCAGGAAACGATTTTCTCTCAAAAATCGGTGAGGGTTCTGTAGACGTGCTAGATTCTGGTCCATGGTACAGGAAGTCTGCAAGCAAAAGTTTCCCCCTTTTTTTTCTCTTACTTCTAATTTGCTGAACGTAAATAATTAATCACAAGTGCTCTCGCGATCTCGCGGTGGGCACCGCGCCTCGCCGTTGGGTCTAAGTAGGTACATCGCGCGATGCATAACAGTCGCGATGCATAACGATTCGTGCGGCAAGACTTGCAACCAAGGAAGCGTGTTTCGCATCACACATATATACGTGCGTCGAACAATATTAGGCCGGGAAAACGAACAAACGTGCACGCGTTAAGTATCGTGACCATCGTATACTTCCACGTTTACAATATCGACGATACGAATAAGTGCCCGCAGCTAGACGCAGCAAAAGACGCGGCGGTGCCTCGCGAAAATGGAAAAATCGGAATGTATAGCGTAGGATTTTCCCGGAAGTAAAAATTATATCAAAGGACTGAGTCTCCAAAATGAGAGAGTCGATAAAAAGAATGAAAAAAAAATTCGGAGCCTTTATTTCTAATCCGAGAAGCCGCCTTCTATCCTACTGTCACAATCCTGAGGAGAAGAGAGAGACACACACAAAGATACAGAGAAAGAGAGAGAGAGAGAGAGAGAGAGAGAGAGAGAGAGAGAAAGAGAGAGAAAGAGAAACAGAAAGAGGTGAAAATATTGCATACTGTGGACGCGCGAGTCGGCCGCAGATGCCGAGTGGTGCGAATCGACGAGGTGATTGGAAGACTCGGTTCGGCTGCTGGTCCCGACTTCCGTGTCGCTGTCCGAGCCCAGGGTGTCGTACTCCTCCGACTCGGACTTGCCCTGACTGACCTTGTGCGCTTTGTGCAACGGCGCAGAGGACGAACGGCCTCCGCGCACCTTAGTGTACCGGTTGCAATCCGACTGCAATCAGACGGAATTGGTTTTTCCATGAGATGGCCACACCGCGTAACGCGCATCCGCCGCGCATCTCCGATCCCGTCGGCGGAATCTCTCTCTCTGTCGACCGGGATCGCGGCGAGAAGCGACCCGCAGGATTAGAGCAGAATCGTCGAGGATCGTAACTGCGCGAGTATTTCCGCCTGATCGGGTCAATAATTGATCTCGTCGGAATTGCCGCGTGTATCCAATGGAAGCGACGTGTCGCGGAAATCTCGGGAGAGCGAGAGACGTTCGCTACTCGTACGATTCGCTGAGTGCGAGCGGACAATCTTGGGGCGGTTGAGAATTAAAAAAAAAATCGAATTTCTCTTGCAAAAATATATAAATTACTATTTATTTAAATTATTTAAATATCTATCACATGCGTACTTAATTTTTAAAAAATAATTTTTAATTTAGTATAATCAACTTTTTGCAGGCATCGACATTATTCATTGTTAAATCGAGATCAGCTAAAGACAGATTTTAATTTAATCGTTAATCATTAATAAAAAACAGACAAAGCTAATAATTGCTTTTTGTCAACAAATAAATGATTTCCAAGTTATAGCCGAGAAATGTACATTTTGTTTTCTCTACTTATTGTTACTTATGGAAGGAAAGAGTAACGAAATTATCACCATCTCTACAGAAAAAGTCTATTCTACAATACTTCATCGATCTAGGAGTCGCGGGAGCGATGAATCATGAGTTTTATACTACAGCTAGAATAAAGCTACAACGAGACTCGGCGACAGATGCAAATGCATAAATGGCGAACGGCGTCCGGGTAGGTCTAGTCTGCTCTAATCGAATACTTCAGCTCCATGAATCGCGAATCGTCTCGTCAGGACAATTGCGAAACGAGGCGAAACGACGACGGGACCAGCAGTCGCAACACTGTAGCTCGCAATAGCGCTCGCGTAATCGGCGTCACGATCTCGCCGTTGAAAAAAAAGAGGAACACAGAGAAGTCCGCGCGTTTCCGAAACTGATAGAAAAGATCGGGAAGGTTCGCGCGCGCGAATTCGTGCGGTAACGTCACACGTCGTACTGAACGCGCGAGACAAGAAATTCGGAAAAAAAACTTGGAAAAAAACTCACATCGAGCATGCGAGTGCGAGTACCTGAGTACTTCGCACAGGGGATCGCTAAGGGTTTCCGAGTCGCAAGGGTGAGGTGCCATCGGGATGCGCATGCAGTTGTCACAGGTGTAACGAAGCTGGGAATGTATGAGAGTGAATGATAAAAGCGGTGGCAGATCATCATGCTCGCGCGTTTCTCTCCGCACGTTTTTTAGCGCCGTTGAACAACGTCTAGCTGCATGTATACATATATAATCGTGTATAACTTCTTGTATCGTTATAAAACCCCAAATCAGCATTGCAACCTCGATCGCGTCTTTAAAGAATAGAACTGACTTTTGTAATTTACAAAAGTTTTTATGTACTTTATCTCGAGAATATTATAAATTACAAAATTACAAATTTAGATGCTAAAGATAGAGAAGAATTTTAAAAAATTCAAGAATAATTGAAATTTTTTAAATTAATAATAAATTCCTATAAGATTTTCAAAATTTAAAATAACAATATAAAAAGACAATGGGGATCAAGCGTGGTTAATAATACGCAGTTTAATATTAAAGAACAAAGAGTTTTTACTCTCACATATATTTCAGACGTTTCGGCTCATATTTTTAGCCATTTTCAGTGAATATTATAGAATAAGTCGAAGTCACTCGCTTGATCGTGGAAATTTGACAGTCCCCTCACTAACCGGTGGCTGTAGGATGCACACATATTCACAATCAAGCGAGTGACCTCGATTTATTTTATATTCACTGAAGATGGCTGAAAATACGAGCCCCGAAACGTCTGAAATATATGTGAGAGTAAAACTCTTTGTTTTTTAAATATTAAACTGTATGTTATTAACCGCGCTTAATTCCCATTGCCTTTACGGAAAGAACGATTTTGTTGGAAGGTCTAAAAATTTTACTAAATACAGATCTGAAAATAATTTGTTGGAATGTTAAAACTGATAAGCTATAAAACGTTTTGATATTCTAGCAATCATTTTGACTTTCGCACTAAATTATTTTGATTAAACAAAAATTATTTTCAGATCTGGATTCAGCAAAATTGTTCTTTCCGTGTTCTTATATTATTATTTTTAAAATCAAGTTAATTTCACTTGTTGTTAGAAACAAAAATAGGTGTTATATATGCGGATTGTTATTTCGGCTAAAAAAAAGACGAATCGCGAAGCAAGAATTAAAGATAAGAAAAATAAAACATTGCGCGATCGGAACTTGCACGGGACAGAAACGTGCGGCGAGAAGGCGGCAATTCTAATAATATATAGATCGGCGGACGATACCTCTCGTAACTGAAGGGTATCGGCAGCTGAGAGACGAGGGTCGTGATAGACAAAGGTCTGAAGAGGCGCGGCAGAATTGCAGCGGCTGTCGCCTCCTGCAGGAACGCTTTCCTCCAGCTGGAACGTGGCGTACGGGTAGATATCTTCCGAATACTCTACAAGCATGTTTAATGGCGTTTCGTTAATATAGTGACTTCCGTGACAATCATTTGATCCCTCGATTTCTCCGTAATAAGAGAGGAAAAGAGAGAGAAAAAGAGAGAATGAGAGGGAAAGAAGGACAGAGAGAGACAGAGACAGAGAGAGAGAGAGAGAGAGAGAGAGAGAGAGAGAGAGAGAGAGAGAGAGAGAGAGAGAGAGAGAGAAAAGAGTCCTATCTCCACGTCTTACATTGTCCATTTGCTACTTTTTTATGGGAAAGAACGGGGTTCGATCGTCACCGACGCGAGCTGGTCTATTTATCTCACCTGGTATTTTCTCGAGCGTGGCCATCTCGTGGATCGGAGAGCGTAGCGGCTTACGCACGGTGGCGTAATACTGCTCGCGCTGCTCCATGTTCTGCTTATTGTCTAGGGCGGCCGCGGTTTGCGCGTCATGCAAGCTCCCGATGTCGCCCATAAATGGACCTAGAATTAGTATTTGAAAATAATAATTATACTTTTAAAATTAAACGAGCGATTAATTCTTTTCTGAATTGACAAATTTTTCTTTTTGCAAAAACTGCATTATTTATCGATTCTATCACAAGCGTATTTTAATGACTTTTACGTATCTCCTCATATTCTGCTTATTTATAATAAAATTATAATAATAATAATACTTTATAATAAAATTATAATAATAATAATACTTTATAATAAAATTATAATAATAATAATACTTTATTGCAATGTACATACAACATTGAAAAGGCTAAAAAGAATTGTTGAATACTTGTGTATGTTTAATTATTCATTATATTGTTTTATTTTTTTAAGATTCTTTTGCTATTTATGATCTTAGTTAGAAAATTGTATACGCCTGTAAAAACTAACGTTTGCGAAAGCAGTAAAAGACGGCACCGGCTGCGGCGATGACCGCGAACGAACTTAGCACCAGAGGTACGATGAGCTTCATGTCCGAATATACAGAGGTGTGCTGGGGAATGTAATGATCGATCTCGATAGCGGACATGGTCGTGCTAATATGCGGCTGCAGCGTCGTTATCTTGTATTCGGCCACCGACGAGCCGGCATTGTTGTGTGCCCTTATGCGGATGTCATAAGCGGTCCCCGGCTGCAGTTCGCTGACGGTATACGTTTTTTGCACCTGCACAATACGCAAGTTGTCGTAGTCCCATAAACGTTATATGTAAAAATATTTAATCGTCTTAAAGGAAATTGATATCGATATTTATAACAGCGATATATAATATATTTGGACAAATTGTTTCATATTTCGTGCTATTCTATTTTTTAATTACCTAAATGTTTTCGAGACTAATTTTCAAAGAAAGTGCAAGAATGTCGAAGAGCATTAATTTTCGAGTTTATACATAGCGATTGGAACTAAATCGCGCGGTGATAAATTATATTTCTCAGATAATTTTTTAGATGACTTTTTTTTACTAGAATTCTTTTTAGATTTGCAGAATTTAATATTTTACAAAGAAATACACAGCTAAAGATTGAAGGCTGCAACAAACACTGATTCACCTATTCGATATTTTCGCTAAGGAAAAATTGATGAAAAATTGACGAAAGATTCCATTTTATTTTTACAATTTGTTTGATAAAAAGAGACAGGTATAACTTTCTCGTTTTTATCATATATATCTCTACACGGAAAGAACGATTTTGTTGAAAGATCTAAAAATTTTGCTGAATACAGATCTGAAAATAATTTTTGTTCAATAATCAAAATAATTTGTTGGAAAGTTAAAAATGATAGGGATTGCTATAAAACGTGTTGATATTCTAGCAATCATTTTGACATTCCAACAAAATTATTTTGATTATTGAACAAGAATTATTTTCTGATCTGGAGCAATCCAGCAAAATTGTTCTTTCCGTGTAGCAAAAAAAAAAAAAGAAAATAAATCTCTTCGCGTGCGAATACCTCTATGTTATTCGAGACCAGCGTCCAGATGTCCTCGCCACTCTTTCTGTACTCCAGCTCGAAGAAAGTTATGGGGCACCCTCCGTCGTTCCACATGCTGAGATGCAGGGTGATCCACGAGACGTTGACCGTGACGAACTTGTCGACGGTTCCGGGCGAGTCGCTCGGCTTCGAGCCCTTTGTGGTCGCCTTGACGATGTCGCTGGGCCGGCCCATGCCGATGCGATTGTACGCCGTCAGGTACATCTGATAGTCGTTGCCACACCAGAGCCGCGACAGGACGAAACTGCTCACCTTGTGCGACACCTTGAACTCCTCCCACTCGCCGGACCGCTTGTAGTGCAGTACGTAGCCACGGATCGGCGAACCGCCGTCGTCGCCGTTCTTCCATTGCACGTTGATCGAATTGCTGCTGGAGCTAGTCGCGTGTAACAACGGCGCCGCAGGTGGGACTGGAAAGGACAAATTTTGATTTATATATACAGTCTGTTCCATAAGAGCGTACGGTCTGTTTCTTTTAAGAAAGAAAAGATCTTTGAAAATAATTATATGATTTCCAGATATATTATTTACGCTTCGATGCATTTATGTTTAATACGTCATCTATAGTTCCTTCACTGAAAAAAGTAATCTTGCAATTGTAGCGAGAATTATTTAGGTACGAAAACTTAGCTAAAACGGATAAGTGATTAGTAAGCACTGCGATATCACATATGTTTTGTATTTAATCAATATAGATAACAGAGACAGAAATTATATTTGAACTATTTGTCAAATTTAGCAAGAAAGTTTCTCTATGACGTTTAATCAATCCAGACTCCAATCATATTTGGTTATGAGACCTATATTTTCTTGCATATATTCTTAGAATATTGTTATTATAAATTCTACATATGATAGACAATTTTTTAGCAGATACAAAAGACAGCGATATAATTTAAGTGTAATATTTGGAATTCTATCTGGAACAGCGAAACATTTCCCTGAGTGTTCCGTTGTCGATTAAGACTTGAAAATATTGAGGCATTTTTACAAGATTTTTTCTAAAAAGTCTTGGAAACTCTAGATCATGACTTTCAAATCGAACGTAATTGATACAATAATTTCTTCAGAATAAAGGCACGCTTTTTCTTCATCTAAATTTTTATAGCAATCCATACATTTTCAATCGCATTAATATAAAGAGATTGTGAAAATCAGTGTTTTGCAAACATGCCATTTTATGTACCCTGTTTTTATTGTGTTTTATCCAGTTATAACACAATAACTAAATCGAACTGAAATCTAACTTTCAAAGTATTTTAGCCTAATGTATTGAAAATATTAACATATAAAAATTTTACTCACACGACATTTATTAACAGAATTATGAACCATATGCTCTTGTGAAATAGACTAAATTACTCCTTGTGATACATTTTTTATTGTTGCAAGCTTTTGGGAAAAAGCTCATTTATAGCGTCATAATTTGAACATTAACATTAGTTTATATTAGTTATTAAATTTATTTCATTATAGTTTTATGCTTAAAATAATATTCGAGAATACAGAGATCAAAATAGTATAATAACAGCAAACTTTCAATTAATACATTTACGATTTAATTAATTATTAGTACATACATATTATTTTATTTTCAGATAATTTAATTTCATTTGATTAACTAATTGTTGCGCAATCAATATTTTGCGTAATCAATTTTTCAATAATTTATAAAATTAAATGGAAGCAAATAAATATTATATTACTGTATAATAAATCTCGCGCGATTATTTTACAAATGTGAAAATTGCGTTTAATACCTTGTACGGTTAAACGATGAGTTATTTGATCGGAGCCGTGGCGATTCTCCACGAAGCAAGTGTAATTTCCGCTGTCCTCCCTGTGAAGCTCGGTGATCTGCAGGGATCCGTCGGGATGGAGGGACACCCTGGCGGATGGCTTGACTATCTGACCCCACTGCTTCCAGATAACCGACGGCTCGGGCTTGCCCACACTTTGACAGGGTAACGTCACATCTTGCTTCCACGGCACGACAAGCGTGGTGCCGAACGAATAAATGGCGGCGCGAACTGTAATAGTGGTAAGTCGAGCGAATCCTTATCGAGTTCGCGATAATCGTAGTTGGTGTAAGTTAGCTTTTATCAACCGCGTGGAGCAAACTCGGGGAAAGTGTTTCCTGACGGGGAAAGATTTAAAGTTCGCCTGGCGAGGAGACTTCCGAGACTAGTGGAGAAAATAAAAATAAAGATAAAAGAAAAAAAACGCGCGCGCGCGACTCATTAACAAACATAACAAGTACGGCGCTCGGTATCTCGTTACCAGTGTCGACTGTAGACAATTCATTTAGCCCGAGAAAACGGATGTTTATACGATGGACGAGTGAACGGCGTTCCGAAAACGCAACTTTCGCAACTAGTCCAATTTGCGCGCCGAAAGGCAACTACTCCCGGAACTCCAGGAGTTTCACTGCTGCACAGTAAAGTTGCATATTTTCCACGTACCAACGCTACCAACTACTCTCTCTCTCTCTCTCGTACAATCTTCCGGAGTATCGAAAGTAGGGGAGAGTTGCCAAATGCGTACCGGTCTCATAAAGCATATATACTTCTTCAATATTTTATAGTTCCACTTAATAGAAGCAACATTTAGTAACAAAAATATGAAGTAAATAAGAAATGTTTAAGTGGTTGGGTAAAGGGGTAAAAGCGCTGGCCAAATTAAGGTGTGGTAACTTCGAGGAAGGGAATAAATACTGGTTGGAAGAAGACGTCAGGAAATGCATATTTAATTTTATGGGGAAGGCTGGGATAGATTAGAACACTACATAGAAAACTGTGAGGTTACTATAAGGATTGGTTTTTAGAGTTAGGTAAAGATAGAATGGAGATATACAATAGGTTATGATGAGAATTTAGACGAGTTAAAAGCAGAAATTCTAGAAAAATTATGGAAAGCAAGGAACAAAGAAATTAAAAAGAGGAAAGAAGAATTGGACGGTAGAGAGTAGGGGGATAAATGAGAAAAAGAAGGGAAGTAGGAGAATGAAATATTGGTTAATTATGAATAAATAAGGCGTTAGTGTGAAGTAAATGAATGTATATGGTAAATAAATGCATTGTGTTAAGAAGGCTGTGAAAATATGTGATAAAATAGTGCTGTAATATATAGATTAAGATACATAGGTTAAGGTAAATAATGAATAAAAATAAGTTTAAGTTAGTATGTAAGAGCGTAGTATGGGTACAGGTATGTTTAGGTAGAGAAGGAGGAAAGGCAAAAGGATATTAGATTAAGGTATAGACGGATGTGAGTGGTTAAGGAAATTTGTAAACCAAGTCCCTTCTTGGCATACTGTCAAAATGCTGAAGTAAATAAATTCTATTTTAAGAAATGTTTAAGATAGACAAAAAATGAACAGGTTACATCTTGTTTTGTGCATGCTATCAACATTTAAAAAAATCAAATACAATTGATGTAAATTTTTGATCAATTTATATAGCTGATACTAATGTAACCATGCAATTTTTAATTGAATCGTTATTTTTTCCTAAAAGATAGTTTATGACAGCATATTTTACATTCATTGTATATACACATTTACAATTATTATAAAAATTATATCAATATTTTTATCATCTTTGTCAAGTTTCGTAAATTGTACCTAACCTAACCAACATAAAAGTTCTTATATCGTATTGGTATAATTTAGGAACACTATAATGTATCTTTATCTTTAAATCACATAACATAATCAACATTATTTATTTTAACACGATCGAAGTTGTTCTGTAGCAAGTCTGTAGAGGAAAAAACCGTCATTAAGTTGCGCAAAACAGCTATTGTTTGATAAATTACAATTAAAGTAGGTATTAATTTATGATTCTTTTATCAATCTTGTGTTTTTAATTATTTTCATTCATAAATTCAATAGTTCACAAGGAGGTACTATTAATAAAACTCATAGGTACGATTTAGGCGACCGGTTTGTTGAATCGTGCTTTTGACATGTTACAAAAAAGTTTAGAACAAATTAATTTGCTATTAGTGAAAGATTTAACATGTAATATTAGATGCCTTGAACATCAAGCTATAATTTCCAACGTTCGTTTGCATTCTAAATAGTACCAAATGTGAAATATAACCAAAAATATCTTAAGTGAATACGCATTCGGCAACTCTCCCCTACATCGAATGTGTAACACACCTTATAGTTTTCGCGTTTAAAAAGTAATATCATCAACAAAATATTCAGAACCGTTTTCAATATTTTAAGACGTGGAATGAAATTTTATTCATTGTGCGGACAGTTTTAATCTCGAAGCTATAAATTTGAAGCGACTGCAGATAGTCCGTTTTACCTTCGCTGGAGGGCGAGACCGTGACGGACGGGGTTTGCGGGCCCTCGCCGACCGAGGTGACCGCCGCGATCGTGAATTCGTACTGGCTCCTTTTGTGCAGATCCTCGGCCTGATAGCTGGTCTGATACGGCGGCAGGGCACGCCTGTGCCACTTGCCCTCCGACCCCAGCCCGCGAATGTGCACGTTGTAGGAGGTGATGTTGCCGTTGCTCTTCAGGGGTGGCTGCCAGGAGACGATGATGGATGTCGCCGAGCTGACGACCGCCTTGACGCCGGCCGGCACCTGCGGCAGGTCCTCCTCGGTCACGCAATAGAGGGGCGACGAGGCGACGCCGTCGCCGGTTCTGGTGTACGCCAGGACCTGGATCGAGTAATTGGTGTACTTCTCCAGATTGTGCAGCACCGCCGTCAGCGAGGTGGTGATCTTCATCTCCGGCTTGACGGACTCCGTCAGCGCGTCCATGTTCTCGTACATGACCTTGTAGCCCTTCAGGATCCCGTTCAGGCTGGAGTCGGGCGGGGACTCCCAGGAGACTTGTAAGGACGTCGACGTGAGCGCGGTGCAACGCACGTCCTGTGGAGGGCTGCTCGGGACTGGAAAAATTTAATAGGTATTTCGCATCTACATATAAGGATCTTTGCGAAGTAATCTGTCGGCCTTCGTGTTGCAAAGATCATTCTATTAAAATTTGACACATATATGATGCATACATGTGCATAATGTTGTCATTTAATTTCTATAAATTTAATATCTATAAATTGTTTAAAAATAAGATTTGTCATCAAGAGATTAAGAAATTTATTACTATTATATTTTTAGCACGTATATTACATATTTTAGCACTATTATATTTTTAAAGTAAAATGAAAAAGTTAAAATATGTAGGAAGAACTGAAAGCAGCGTACAGACGCTAAGTTGTGAAGTTATAACAATGCGTAAAAATCTAATATGTATATCCGTATTGATATTCATCCGTATGTTAATTTTAATGAAAATTATAATGTCGGTTAGATTAAATATATATCTTTTACGACTGCAATAATTTGAGAAATACGATCGCCGCGGCTCATAAAACTCGTACTATTGCATTTAAAATGTCGATATTCGTCGCATATATTCGAGGGCAACGTGACTGTACGCGCGGAATATTTCAAGAACGGGTTCAAATGGAAAGTTTTTAAAGAGGTACGGGTGCCGTCGCGAGTCGCGGGGATGTTTGCCCCCCCCCCCCTCCCCCAGCGATCGAAAATATCGGAGTGCACTTGGAAGTTTCGTCGGGTTCGCCATCCGGCCGGGGGATAGGATTAAAGAAGTTATTTCGCGGGCGCGGGTGCCGCATCTGAATTTATTATTTATCCGGGAAGTCGTGCAGCCGCGCGCGGCCGCATGCGGTCGGTATTCATGGCGGAATTCGTGATAGGCTCGCGAGAAGGCGCGAATATTATTCTCTTCATGAATTTTTGAAGTATCCCGGGTCGAGTTTCCCGACGGCGAAAATAGACGTCTAGACGCGAGTGGTCCGCTCTGCCGAGCTCATCGCGAAAGCGCGGCCGATCGATCGCACCGGATATGTTAATTCCGCTCGCGGCTGATGTGCATATTTTCGTCGCATCGCACGATTCGTTGGTGAAAACGCTGAAAGCTCACGATTCAATGTGTGCCACTTCGTTGGAAACTCAAAATTAATCACGACGCGATGCCGACAGATGAATAAGCTTGACATTATAATATATTTTTATAGCGTTACTTAAGAAAAGTTAATGAAATATTTAAGGGGATCCTAAAATCTATTTTAGCAATTGAACACAATAACTTTCGTGTCGAGATTTCTAGCGTATTATTCTAACAGATTTGAAAATACCTTTCTAGAATTGGAAATTCCTTTCTAGAATTAAAAGTAGTATTAAAAAATATGCGTTAATACGTGTCGAGCGTTTGGAATTTATGCCGAGAACGAAAAATATAATATTAACAATAATTAACAAGGCAAACAATAAGTAAACGAGCAAATTTCGTGGGTGTACTAACAAATATATTTCATTTATATCAAGATATATGGATATCTATAAATGCGGTACCAGTTTCAACTTGACTGCAGTCTTCATCAGCCGCTACACAATTAATACATAATTGCTAATTATGTATTAATTGTTTAGCGCCTGATGAAGACTGCAGTCAAGTCGAAACGGCAGGTACCGCATTTATAGATATCTATACATCTTGATATAAACGAAATATATTTGTTAGTACAACCACGAAATTTGCTCGTTTACGGCCTCGTTAATTATTGTTAATATTGTCTTTGTAATTACGAGCGATATTTAGATTATTAACGAAAAATATTTTTATAATTCAGAATCTTCTTTACCATTTCTTAGAGCTATGTGGCGTTTAGAGCTATCAAATCAAGACATGTGCTTGATATAAAAACTCTGCAACCTGTACTTATGAAATTACGGTGGTTAGACTAGTAGATTACAAGAAAAAACAATATGGAGAATTAGATTTAGACACTTAATTTTCGAGAAATATTTACGCAAAAATTTGTTATAATGTATGTGTGCAATATTGCCAATATTGATGTGATATAAACATATCACTACTACTTGACTACTACATTAATGTCGCACGCATACATATGTAGGCATTTTCATATCATGTTTTCTTTTATATTGAAGCACCTAGGCTCATTAATAAAAACACAGTACTATTCTTTCATGAAATCCCAGCACAGATGAAGCTTGTTTTATACGTACAAAATATAAAAGTTCTTATACCAAGCAAAAGTTGTTACAAAGTTGATGCTAAAAATCGATAACGAAATTGTAATTTTCGAAAATTTTTTTTTATACGAAATTGTTTCATCCGCATTCCGTTATTGTTTATACTTTAATTCTGTAAAAGTAATATTTACGAAATTTTTAAAATGGGAAAACGCCAACACGGTCAAAGCGGATCTTGGTGCACGATAATATTGTAATGTATGAATCTTTTATCGAGGAATGTTTGTAACATTCTTCGATCTATCCTGATATTTGATTATACTAGAACAAAACAGCGCGCGCTTCGCGCGCGCCATTTATTCAGTATCACTGAAACATGACATACATACATACATACAATATATATACAATGTAATTCTGATTTTAATGAAACTTACACTTTGAAGTCACATAAATAGATGAATTTAGAAATTATTAGTTGGGGCTAAAAAACGGTTTAAAGGGATGAATCTACCCTTTATATATAAATTAATTTTTTCTTTTTTTCGTTAGATCTCGAAAATTATTCAAGAAATCAAAAAATGCTTTATACAAAAGTTTTACAATAAAATTATTTCTATTCATTTACGTTAATAGAAATTTTTAAAAATGATTATTTTTCATTATTTTTAA